GTAAATAAAATGGACTTGGAGGTTGGAATTCTGAGTTCTGGTCTTGCCTCTATCACTAGCCAGCTTTGTAGTCTTTGGTCTCCTTTATTCTCTTGGCTTAGTTTACTCTTAAGTAAAACAAGAGGCCTGAACTAGATGATCTTTTAGATTCTGGCCTGCTCTGAAAAATCTGATTCTATGGAACACAGATGAACTATAGTCCTAAACTTTAAAACCTGCAATTAATATGTATATATGTATGTGTGCATGTATACACACATACGTATGCATGGGGCAGCTAGGTGGTACAGTGGACAGAGTGCCAGGCAAGACTCATTTTTCATGATTTCAAATCCAACCTCAGACACTTACCAGTTCTGTGACCCTGGGCAAGTCACTTAACCCTGTTTGCCTCAGTTTCCTTGTCTGTAAAATGAGCTGGAGAAGGAAATGGCAAATCTTTTTCAAAGAAATCTCAATTGGGGTCACAAAGAGTTGGACATGACTGAAAAAAAACTGAACAAAAACAAAAATATGTATATAGATGCATGTATATATGTGGGCAAAAAATAATCCAAGGGAAATAAATATGGAAAATATATACACACATATATATGTGTGTAAATATATACATATATACACACTTACATATGTGCATACACAACCAACATACAACATAACCAACAAAAATATTTAAATATGAAAAATTGATGCACATATCTTGCCTTCCATTTTGGGGCATGTGGATATCAGAATGGAATGACAGTATAAATTTAGGGAAAACACATGCTTGTCAGGATGCCAGGGAAGGGACTCCAAATCAAATCACTTTCCCATCCAATTAAGTGAACTTTGTTTTAAGAATCCAAGTATATAACTCTCTAAACTAGGAGTATTTTTACCCAAGGTCTATGAACTCTTTAAAAAATATATTTTGACAACTGTATTTTAGTATAATTGCTCTCCATTGTAATTATATGCTTTTTATGAATTTTCAAGCATTGCTTTGAGAAGGGATCCATAGACTTTGTCAGATGTCAAAGGGATCCTTGACACAGAAAAGATTAAAAAGTCCTGATCTAGAACAAACCTACTCTTAGCTCTGATTAGGTTTTAGTTCAGTTCTGGATAAAGAGCTTGAGGATTCTAGAAGAAATAGGATTAACAAGTACTCCTCAGCTAAGAGATGTTTAGAGTTTAAAAAGGAAGAAGGAAAGGGTTGGTATTAATTAATGAATAGGAGTCAAATATATTCAAATAACAGTAAAAATCAGGAACCCTATGAAACAGAGGAAGAACAAGACTGAAAAGTACATTGTAACAGCACCAATATCTATTCATGATCTCTGAATCAACAATTTCCTTGAGAAAATTAACTATGCTTTCCAAAATGTAGTATTTTTTGTTTCATTTAATAAATTGTCAGGGTGGGAGAAATGTAATATCAACCTCAAATTCAATCTTTCAATGTCAACGGAAAATATATCATAGAATTAAGAGCATATTTTATTTTGAGACACAGAAAAAGAAATTCTCTGATTGGCCAGCTGATGGTTATAAACATAGCATCGTAAAGTATAAATCTTCCTGAGGAAGGAAGATATTTTCCAAAGAGAAAGTCCCTGGGGGTGATCAGGAAACAAAGGTTACAGTGACTGTCAGAAAACTAGATGACCTGCTCCTCATGCTGAGTTCTCTATCAGCCCTAGCTGCAACCTCGCTTACTTTTCTAATTACAGGAAGAGGGAAAAGAAAGACACCTTTGTTTTGTCCAAGGATGTTAGAATACTTATAACTGATTGTTTTAATTTGAACATTTGTATTTAGAAGTTTTGTTGGATGGAACTGTCCAAGTACTGAACCTAAACACTTCATGTGCTGCTCTTCCTATTTTGGGTGAGATGGGTTTTGTTAGCACCAACTCTGTTTTCAAACTGCAGAAAACATTTCACAGTGTGTCTGATGGGGGTGGAGGGTGGGGAGAAGAGATATAGAATGGTGAACAATTTTTTTTTTCCCACCTAGGAGCCATAACACTTGGTACCAATGATCAGTATAATCTTTCACCAATCATTTCTTTCACAATTTCAAGAAACATTTTTCTTAAAGAAACAACTACTTTAAACACAGTAACAGTAACCCAAAGAAGAAAATCAAGTAAGGATTACAGTTTTGAAGTAAAGGGAGTTTTTCTTTCATCTGTGGCTGGGATCAAAGTTTTGATGATGATATTGGCATCTTTATGCATCTGATTAGAAAAAAGATATTGGCTAGAAACATGGATCTCCATTCTCCCAACAGCAGATCTGTGGCACATGCAGCAGCACAGGTAATGAGAAAAACATATGCTTATGCTGTTATGTCACAGGTTGTTAAATATGACAAAAATGTCTTCTAATTGTTCACTCCCATACAGGGGATTTTCAAAAAGAGAGTTTATGTTCAGGAAACAAGTCTGTCTCTGAGGCTTCCAAAAGTCTGCACTTTTAATTGATAATGAGCAGACAGATGATGTAAATGAGAGCTCTGAGAGTTAGTGAAAGAAGAAGAAGCATTTATCCCAATTTGTTTTCCTGGAAATGAATGCTTCGTGTCAAGAATGCATAATAAAAACAACAAAGGCACTCTCATTCTGCACCATAAATGGCTTAATTACTTTGTTGCTTCACAACAGATTTGCCCTTTATGAGAGAATTTACCAGCTCTTTAATCCCTCTTATTTGATTAACATTAGAATCAATGCTTACAACCTGTGTGGATGTCATAACATATTATATTTTCAAACATAAAGAAAGATGGATTTTAGAGCATCATATGTTAGAGATATATTTTAAGGATAGCTGATTATCTTTTAAGGCTCTACCTTCTTGAAGAAAAGAAATGTTCATAGAATTTCAAGCAGAGAGGGTCATTAAAGATCATCTAATCCAACCCTTTCATTCTACACAAGAGGAAAGTGAAGGTCAGGGAAGTTAATGGTATATGGGAGGAAGGACTGGGCTTAGAGTTGGGGAAGACCTTACCTAAGGTCTATGAATTCTTTAATTACAAAGGAAAGCAATTATACTAAAATACAGCTATCAAAATATATTTTAAAGCATTCATAGACCTTGGGGAAGACCTTAGTTTGAATTGAATCTGACAGGTACTAACTGTGTGACTCTGGGCAAGTCTCTTAATTATCTCAGCCTGTTTTTCCAGCTATAAAACAGTACCTATTATAGTTCTAGGCACACAGTAGGTACTCAGTACATCCCTGCTGATTGATGAAATGGGGCAGTGGGTATTTGGAGAGTATATCAGCAAAGTGTAAAATTCTTCACACCTCCTTTAGAGTCAGTGTGCCACAAGGGAATTGGAGTCAGAGGAGTTGGGTATGAATCCCAGCTATTATTTACTACCTTATATGACCTTGAGAAAATTACTTACCCTCTTTTGGTTTCTAACATAAAATTAGAGGTTGAACTAAATAATAGCGAAATTTCCTACTAGTTCTAAGTCTTATGATTCCTTTGTAGCATGATATGGAATAGTGGACAGTACACTAGCCTGGATGTCCGTAGGCCCAGATCTGGGTACCTAAATCCACTGGCTTCTTTCAAGTATGTCATTTCAGAAGCACCACAGTGGTACAATGGAAAAAGCTTTGTACTGGGAGTAAGAAAGAAGAGGAACAAGATTTTTAGAAGTCTCTTCCAGCTATGAAGTTCTCAGATTCTATATTCTGCACAAATCCTATTATTGTAAATATCAAACCTGGAAAGCACCTTTGAGACCACCCTGAAACCATTATTTTTAAAGGAAAAAATTGAGACCCAAATGACTTGATTCTTAGACATCTCTTCTTCAGTAGCAAAACCCAGAAACTATCTTAGATTTAAGACTTTCAACATCATCACTCTATTTCTACCTATACTGTCAGCCAACATCTATCTGGTAGTAACTGTTGCTCTCATCACTGGAGGTAGAAAGCAAAAGGAGAAGGAGACAATCAAAGTCCTGCAGAGCCTTATATGTTAATTGGGGAAATAAGGGAATCACTGATATCACTATCAGCACTATTTTATAAATAAGGAAATTGAATCAGAGAGGTTAAGTGAAGCTAGGTGGCACAGTGGATGGAACGCCGGCTGGGCCTGGAGTCAAGAAGACCCGATTTCAAATTCTGTCTCAGATACTGTGTGAACCTGGGCAAGTGACTTAACCCTGTTTGCCTCAGTTTCCTCGTCTGTAAAATGAGTTGGAGAAGGAAATGGCAAGCCACTCCAGTATATTTGCCACGAACCCCCCCCCCCCCCCAAAGAGTCATGGAGAGTCAGACACGCCAGAAAAATGACTAAACAACAGTAAGTGACTTCGCTTAGGGTCACAGAGCCAGTCAGGGGCAGCATTCTAACTCAGGTCTTCCCGACTCCAAGCGTCTCCCTCTAGCCCCTGCACCTTCTCTCTTTAACAGTTATTTTAGTTACAGGAAGTTGCCGGCCTTCCTTGTAGGAAGCTGGAGCATTGGGGTCAAAGTTGCTCTGTCCCCTTGAGGCCTCACTTTACTCTGGTCCCCGCTTTGGAGGCTGCGGGAATTTTGTCAGAAATGACCAGAGAACTGGCTCGCTCTGCCTGTTGCCTATTACACTTAAAAAGGCACCGGGAAAGAGGCTGAGCGCAGGCTGGACTACAAGCTCCAGCATGCATCGGGCCAGAGGGAGCGACCAATCAGAAATACGCAGGCCGCCCTAGATCCCGCCATGCTCTGGGGGGCCTGTTCAAATCTCTCCTCAGCGTGGGGCGGTTGACAGACAGGTGGTGGCTTTCCCGGAGGGGCGGAGGTGGGGTCTGGTGGGGCGTGGGAGGAAGTTCAGACCACTCTGGAGGCGGGAATCGATTCAGGTTGTGCAAAGGCACGGAAGAGTAAGCGGTCTCCCCGGATTCCCTTTTTCTGGTGGCTTCCTTTCAAGCTAGTAGTTGTTCCGTGGGCGGGCCCCGCTCTCATCCACTGGGCCAACTTCCTTTGACAGCCTGGGGGAGGGGGGGCGACCGACCGACCTCACTGTACTCCTGTAGCTCTAAGATTTAGAAAGCCTTTTTCTCACACCTTTATTGTGAGGGAGGTGGGTGAGTAAATTACCCCTATTTTATAGGTTAGAGTGTCGAGGTGCCGCTACTGAGTGGCAGAGCTGGTGCTTAAATGCCAGGTCCTTTGGAACATGGTTTGGTTTTTGTTCGTTTTCTCCACTCGGCCTCAGGGAACTTCTGGTGTGGAAACTGCCCCCACCCATGGAGATAAACAAACTCAGTTAACTTGTGTCCTTAGTTGCCTTGGGGTTCGGGGAAAGAACGTTTCCGAAGTAGCACTTAGGGAACTTCACAATTCAGGATTGTCTGAATTCGAGACTGGAAAGTCTGCTGGAGGCCTTGCAAATCCCGAAATTTAGCAGCTAATTAGGATTTGAGCAAATATGAACTTCCTAGTCCAGAACTGTACCAGCTTCAAAATAAACACGTGATTTTTTTTAAGGGGTGGGGGGAGACGGAAGCTAGGAAGGAGGGAGTGAATTGTCCAAAATCAAGAATAGGATTATTGGTCAAACTAGGATTAATTTATAATCTTGACTGATTACTAATTAAATATCCTTTCCAACTTTATACCTTTTACTCTTCCATAGGCTTTTGTACACAACGGATGTGCAAAATTTCATCATTGTCTGCACTACCAGCCTCAGACAGTTGAGAAAGTGATTCTTCTAGTGCCAGGTGCTATATAAATATAATCTCTTATTGTTAACCAGATTCTGTTGATTGTACTGAGATAAAGGTAGGGAGGCTGGCTGCCCTTGTGTGACCTAGCCAGGTTTCAAAGCATGAGACCGCTGGGAGGCTACACTTTGATCTCACCACCATCTCTTTTGTTTGGCAGTTCCTACAATCCCTTTTAATAAAGTGAAATCAAGTGAGAGAAGAATAAGCTTGTAATGGACCCCCCGGGGAATTTCCCCTCTCTGGCCCATTAGCTCCCTATGGAGCCCTGTCCTTATGTGTTCTTCAAATCAGATGAGAGGATGGACAGTAGCAAAAAATCCATTGGCTGGGAGTTAGTAGATCTAAAGTGTCACTAATTAACTGTAATGTTGGGCAAGATATTTAATTGTTCTTTGCCTCAGTCTCTTTATCTGAAATAATGACCATTACATAATAGCACTTTTTACAATGTTTTTCTCAGAGCAAACCTATGAATAGGTAGTACAAATATTCGTATTTCCATTTTAAAAATGATCAAAGAGATTCTGAGAGTTTGTGTCTGGTCACACAATTAGTAAAGGGAGGAGCCAGAATTCAGACACAGGTCATCTGACTTTTAAGTCTATGACTTTCTACTATCTTATCTTGTCACAAAAATAGAAGAATTGGAGTTATATGGTCCCTTCCAGTGCCTTCATCCTATGAGTATCTATAATCATCTTTCTGATTTAGCATGCAAATGGAAGTAAGTTGATTGTCAGTCTTCTGGTATTATTTATGAATTCATGAGTGTGAATACTTTAAACAAAAATTAAGGCTGTAAGAAAAAAAAACAGCCCATTTTTTTTTTTTTTTTACAGATATTCTTCTACTTGAAAATTGTATATTTTGAACAGTGGGCTATATATCCTTATGGTCAATACATCTGACCCAGGCAGAAGACAAAAATACCAATTCTTTGTACTAAAGTTTAGTTTGTTTTCGCCATTATAAATAATGATCTGAGACAATAAGCCTAAAACTGTGTGTTTTTTGCCCCTAATTAGAATATATTCTGCAGGGAAGACAGGACCTTGTCTTGTACTTTTAAAAATTTATAGGTAGGGATAGTGTTTGTCTATAGTAGGCATTTTTTGAATGCTTGTCAAATAATTGCACTTGAAATGAATGAAATTTTTATGTTGCTGAATTTTTCCTGTAGTTAGAACATTTATAAATTATATCCCCAATGGAAAACTTAGTTTAAATATATAATTGAATATATAATTAAGTATATAATAAAAGTCTTTTTTCATACTACTCAGAGTATTTGTACTATTCAACAATAAGAGATGATAGTTTATATTATATTAGTAATTATATCATGCAGATATATATATTATATGGTTATATTATAAGTATCTAAAATCTGAACTATTATTTTTAATTTTTATGTCAGTTTCCATTGTAATGGCCCCATCTTGTGGCAATAGTTTGATTTAGAGAGAACCTCACTAATAGCTTTTATTGAAAGCATCTCCATTCTCCAAAGTACACATTTTAGAAAACTAGCTAACTATCTTTGACTCTTTCTCTTCCTCACTTGCATTATCTGATTGGTTGTCAAGTCCTGTCAGTTCTACCTCCACAATATTTTATACCTGTTCTCTCCTCACACTGCCATCACCCTAGCTGAGAGCCCTATTTTCTTTTGGGGAAACTTGCAGGTGGGGAACTTGTAGCCTCGAGGCCACTTGTGGCCTTCTAGGTCTTTGGGTGTGGCCTTTTGACTGAGTCCAAGTTTTACAGAACAAATCTCTTTATCAAGGGGATTTGTTCTATGAAGTTTGGATTCAGTCAAAGGGCTGCACTTAAAGACCTAGAGGGCCACATGTGGCCTCGAGGCACAGGTTCCTCACTCCTGGTAGGCTATCTGAAATGGCCTCCTAATTGGACTCTGCCTTTAGTCTCTCCACTTTCCAATCCATTTTTCACGTAGCTACCAAAATTAATGTATATATCAGACTATTTCAGTGCCATGTTAAAATCTACTAGTAGCTCCACTATTGCCTACATTATAAAACACAATCTCCTGAGCTTGGCATGTGAAGCTTTTTACAATCTGATTCCAACTTAGTTTCTTGACCTTATTCATAGGCTACTAGCTGTTCTTTAATTTCAATCTTGCCCTCTCCCACTTCCATGCATTTACACAAGCCTGGAATATTCTTAGGAGTGTGATGAAGCCAGCTCTAATCTGGGAGAAATTGTTAAATTTTCATTGTGAGCATTTGTATTCCAGAAATCAATAGTTACTACAAAGAGGCTAGATATATTGTTTTGTTGATTGTCTAGACTTAAGTGTTAATAATGCAAATTTACCTTAAAAATATATGCATACATTTTTGTCCAAGACAGTCTGTTCATTGAACATTTATCAGTACACCCCTTAATATACTCCTTCAGCATCTCTGCCTGTTGAAATCGGACATTTCTTTTATGGCCTAGCTCAGAAGCCACTCTTCCAGTAACCTTCCCTTATCCTCTCAGTTGAAAGTGATTTTTTTCTTTCTCAAATTTTCTTATAGCACATTGCTTCAATTTTTCATTTTCCTTGAGTATTTCTACCCTGTATTGTACTTTTTTGTGCATTTCTCTTATCAGTATTAGATTTTAAGGTCCTGGAAGCCAAGGAATTGAAATTTTTCATCTTGGTATTCCCCAATATATTGCAGAGTGTCTTGCACATAGTAGATGTTTAATAAATGTTTGTTGAATTGAATAACCTATCTAGAAGTATTTTCGGTTGGAAAAATAACGTACAACAAGATGACATATATCATTAACTCATAAAAGATATTACTTCAGTTTTCTCACTTAGATTTCAAAGAAAAGGACTAAAATATTGTTCTGGGTTTGAAAATTAAATTTGTTGATATCTTTTGTTTTTTAGCATCTTCATTTTTGAAAATATCACTCTTCTTTCCCTATCCGAGACAAATATCTCTTATAACAAAGAATTTTTTTTTAAAAAGAGGGAAAAAAGGCAATTGAGCAAAGTTAATTGGCACATTAGCCAAATTTGACAGTATATGCAGTGTTATATACTAATAGTCTACCACACCAAAACCAATGCCATACTAATACCATAGTTCCTTATCAGGGAGGTACATTTTTTCATCTCTTCTTTATGACCAGGCTTGGTCATTATAATTAAACAGTATTCAGTTTCATTTTTATTATTCTTTCTATTTACATTGCTGTTATCACATACACAGAGACATATATATACATATACATATATATATACATATGTAGTTATACTTATTTTCCTCTGAATTAGTTCATAAACCTTCCCATCTTTGCCTGAATTCTGTTATTTCTTGTAATATTCTATTATATATATAAACACATATCCATATATATGTAGATATATATTCCAAAATTTCTTTGCCAATTCCCCAATTAATGGGCATCTGCTCTAAAAATATATTTGAAATTAATTTGCAGTATTTCTATTTTGTCAATTTTTATTTTTGTTTTTCAGTCAAATGTTTAAGAATTATATTGCTGACCAGAAATTCAACTTGAAAGCTCTAATTAAAAATATAGAAAAAATTTCTTTGGATCTGAAGAAGATGGATGGTAAGAATGAAATCCCTGACAATCAAATTGCTTGCATATTATCGTTATAAAAGAAGAGGAGAGCCAATGTGTGTCTCTGCTCTGCTTAATTAGCTTATTCCCCCTTCTTACAATTGACTGTTGAGTTTTGGGGTCAGAAGGTATTCTCTTTTGTGCCTGAAACAATGCCACAAATAAAATTGTGCCAAATTAATCATCTAATTACTGAGTTTTAGAGCTGACAGGAAACTAAGATACATCTGATATTTGGCTAGGAATCAGGAGGTTTGGGTTATAATTATAGATCTGCCAGCAAATAGCTTGGGACCTTGGATAAGTCACAACCGTTCTGAACTTTAACTTCCTCATCTGAAGAAACCAAATACTAAGATCCCTTTCATTTCTAATATTCTATGATTCTCTTTTATTAGTTATGTATTCTTCATCTGATACAATAGAGCTGTTTATGAAAATGTTTATGTAAAATTTTCAGAGATCAGATTTTACACTCATCAAGTTAAGTAGATGACCAAAAAAAAAAACCCTTACATTGAAGTACTTTTTTTTTTTTGTAATTCTAATCATTACCCTCCCCCTACTTTTTCTAAATTCAGATTCATATAAACCTGGTTTTCTTACGACAGTTTCCCAGCCAGAGACTAAAATAGGAGAGGCTGGACAAAGAGCCAGTCAGAACATCCAGAAGAAAGACAACACAATGACATCTACTTTGCAGTAGGAGCAGAACTTAACCTTGACACAGCAGGGCCTCATTCTGGCATTGAAGGGGGAGACAGAAACTGCCACTGCATCCAGGGTTCATGAGGGCGTAGAACTTGGACCTAACATAAAGTCCCAATCTAGAAACTGAAGCTAAACATGAATAAACAGAAGAAACTGATACAATTATGAAATGGTATGGATAAGAGAATCCCAAGATAAAATCCCAGAAGAAAACAGCTTTGCAATAATTGCAAGTAGAATCTCAGAACAAAGAATAGACTGGCAACAAGGATTCTGAGAGTGCATGGAAAAGATAAAGCAAGAATTGAAACAAGAGGGGCAGCTAAGTGGCGCAGTGGATAGAGCACCGGCCCTGAAGTCAGGAAGACCTGAGTTTAAATCCAGCCTCAGACCAAACACTTGTCATTTACTAGCTATGTGACCCTGGGCAAGTCAATTAACCCCAATTGCCTAAAAAAAAAAAAGAAGAATTGAAACAAGAAATAAAGAATGAAATTAGTACATTTAGAGAAAAATAGGTTAGAACAGAAAGTAGTGGACACTCTGAAAAATAGAATGGAGCAAAGAGAACTCTGGTTTAATAAGAAATATTTGGAGTAAAAAAAAATCAAAAAGTTAGAAGAACAAATGAAGTATCTTCTAACAAAAACAACTGACCTGGAAAATAGATCAAGGAGAGATTATTTAAGAATCATTGGACTTCCTGAAGACTATGAACAAACAAAAACTCTGAAAACTATATTTCAAGAAATAATAAAAGAAAATTGCCTAGAACTTTTAGAATCAGATGGCAAAATAAAAATAGAATCTACAAGTCACCTCTAGAAAAAAGCCTGAAGTTGAGCACACCCAGAAATGTCATAGCCAAAATCCACAACTTCCTGATCAAAGAAAAAATACTACAAGTAGCCAGAAAAAAGAAGAGATCACGTACCAGAATACCACAGTTAGAGTCACACAAGATTATGCAGTCAATACCTTAAGGAAAGAAAAACGTGGAATACAGTATATCAAAAAGCCAAAGAAAAAGATCTGTCCACCCAAGGAAAAGATCTGTCCACCCAAGGATAACATATCCTGCAAAATTCAGTGTAATCATACAGGGCAAAAAAAAATAGATCTTTAATATAATAGAGGACTTTCAAGCATTCCTATTGAGAAAACCAGAGCTGGGTAGAATCTTTGAAACACAAACATAGCAAACAAGAAAAACCTAGAAAGTTAGATTCATTTGAACAATTTGAGTGGGATAAATGACAATTACATTTTTTTGCCTACTAGTGGGAGAAAAGAGACATTCAGAACCACATTGTCTCCAGGACACTCCAATTACCTTAAATTGAAACTTAGGAAATGAGTGTATTGGTTTTATGGTTTTTTGTTTAT